AATCATTCGATGAGTTAGTTATTATTGATATGGTGATTGATAAAAATTTTTTTTTTAAATTTAGATTATGTGCAAACATTTAAAACTTACAGAGCCAAACAATTTTTAAATTATATTATTGAATAAAATGTTTCAAAAATGGATATAATTTTGTTGTATATAAATACAATTTTGTAGGTATTCAAATTCATTCTTGTCCGATTTTATTCTTATTTTCAAAGTTTTAAACAATATTATACGAAACTATATATGATAAATATTTATTCTAAATATAATATTGAGTAAATAATTTGGAACTGTTTTCTTTTCAGTAGATCCAAAATAACTAAATATAATTTTTTTTTAATATAAACAAATGTTAAATAAATAAAATAAACCAATTGTTTATAAGCTCATTATTTCATTTTCAAAAAGTTTCATTTTATTTTTTCTGATACTTAAAAATAAAACATTTTAACACCAACAAGAATATTTAGCGTAGAGAATTTAATTAAAATTAAAAACTTGAAAAAATAAATAAATTAAACTGTAGCTATACTTTTAAAGCTTTATGGAGAATATAAATTTGTTACATGATATAAACATTTAAGTCTATTAAAACAGTTAATACTGCCTACTAAGAAGATACATATATTTGAAACTATATAATTACAAGAAAATACGAACAAAATTAATATGCACTTAATTCATCAAACACCAAATATTTTATTAATATAATCTACCAAGAATCTATATACTAAAATCCTAACTATGAAATTATTTTTCCCTATCACGGTATTAAATTGTAATGGTATAATATTTTATCAAATAGGTTCATTTACATTTACAAGAGCTCCTGCAAAAAATTAACAAATTTATAAAATCATAAATAAATAACTAATATCAGTTAATTAAGTATTTACAAGATCGTTATATTACAAGTTAATAGTATAAAAATAATAAATAACTTCTATAAGTTTAAATTTAACATGATATAATATATCAATTTTAATTTTTAAGATATCAGTTTTATTATCAAAAAGTTTATATTCGAGTTTTTATAAATAACATACACAACTAAAAATGACAGTGTTTTTTAGTTTTTAAGTAGTTTAATGATTTTGTTCAGAATCCATAATAATGATACATTCTGCATTTTCACTATACGGTATAATAAGTATTGTATATGTATGTGTTCGTATACTTAAATATACATATCACATGCGTATAATATTAATGTATATAGCGTTACCGTGAAATTGTAATCGGCTTTGGTTTTCGATTATGTCGACAATATGTTACACTCAAATTTAAAATAATAATAATGAATAAATAAACATTGTATACGAAGATATTCGTAGCATTTATCACTACAGTCGTCACGATTATTATCATCAATTTGGTAAACGAAATCGAAATCGGAAGATAGAAAAAATGCAACGACAGCAGTAATAGTTCGGTTTCTCCGGACGGAAACAGCATACGGCGAACGCGAGCACACCAGTTCCGCTTGCCATATGGACACCGATTTACACGAGACTATAACTCTGCGCTTGTGTGCGAGTGTGTAGTGGGGAAAGGGAGGGGATTAAGTTGACAACCCCAAAACGATATAGGAGCGACAACATTTTATCCAGGAAAATTAATAAAAAAAATTTACTTCCTTACATTATTATTGTAATATATGCGTCAACAGTGAATAAACTTGTTTTGCATAAACTCAAGTATCCCTTACATTTACCACCGATGTAACAAACTTGAGTATAAGTAAAACGGTGATTACAATTATTTTTATCGATACTTTTGTTTTATGGTCACTGTTGCCGGAAAGATCGTGTCATAAAGTGTATTATGTAAAAATCATGTGCGTATTGTCCTGCGACTAACGAAGGCACGGAAACTGTTGTGTGTTTGTGTGTGTGTATATGAAAGCACTATACACTATGCGTTGTCTCAAGTGACTCTTAAGTGGTGTAGGGTTAATCATTAGGAAAATGTTGAATACGTGTCTACCGACTAGGACCCATCAAAGCCAAAATTATACTTTTTGATAAATTCAATTTTTTACTGTGAAGCCATGTATCCGTCGGCAACGACAACGTTTTCTAATCGACAGCGTATGTTACGATATATTTACAGTACTATAACTTGGGGTGCACCAATCACCGCACGGTCTATGCGTACAGCTATTGAAAACGTCGATCCCCCTTACGTGCCCCACTATACGTCTCGGAATTCCACTAGAAAGGGTTAACACGAGGAAACCAGTTCTGCAGTCGTATTGCAGCAACAACAGCGGTGACGGCGGTGGCGGTGTCCTCAACTCTAACCGCCCTACAGCACTGTAATAGGTTTTCGCGGCTGTTGCAGTCGTGCGATTTTCCACGGTCGGCACAGTGGCAAGTATATATGTACACACACGCACACACACACGTGTAATATTATAATTTTACGTATAAATGGGCCACGAGTCCGAATTCGGCTGTTACCCGGTTGATGTAATTGTCTATAACAAATGCGTATATTATAGGTTGAGCGTGTACATTACGTTTGGTAAATGCAACTAATAGGCGTATGATTATTATTATCCTGTACATATTGTGTATGTAAAATGTATTCGTAAATAGTTAGAGCTGCACAAGTGTAAGGTATTTAATTTGAACGTTTCGACATGGCCGAGATGGGGATGTGATGGGTCAAATATGTCCGCACGACTTTAGCCCCTCGTCATCCTAGAAAGACGGCCTAGTAGCGAGCTGTAAACTGGAAACACGTCGATTTTTTTTCTCCACGTTACGTACGATTTAAGTTGTAGTTTTGGAGGGAGTCTTGTTAGCACACATACACAGACGCCGAAATTCCGTCAGACAACGCATCCGCTGCTGTTGGCAACCAAACCGAGGGTGATCAGCTGTTCGCTGAGAGCAGCTGCCCCTCGGATAAACACATGTTGCCGCATTTCTCGCGTTTGTGCGTGCGTGCATGTCTTACAAAACTTCGGGCTCGACAAAAGAATAATAACAACGTAACAATATTTATATGACTATGGACAATTTTTTGTTCTTTCGCCACGCATCAACTTTGCATAAATACGCGATTCAAACCATCCTGACCAGGTCTAAACTCTGACTGTTCGTTACTCGCACAGCATTGTTTAGCTTTATATGCATCGATATTTTTGGCAACCACTGGTTGTATATTTGAATAGCGTATCTGGCGGACCGTGAACGACCGGTAATTAGCACCGCGGTGTGATCGCGCGTGCGTTTGGTGTACGCGGCTGCGTCGAGTAGGTACAACACACAACGATGACGTTACGCGTTGTTGTGACACCCACACCTATATACTTTAACCTAAAACCGTAGGTCCCGACCGAGAGTCTTGCATACAAAATTAGTTTTTACCTGAAAATAAAAAAACGAGTGGCACACCTGCGCGAAACTTACGCAATACTGTCGCCACCCAGGATTGGATGCACTAATGCGTGCAGCATACTCTATTTGTTATTAAGTACAATTTTTTCGTAACAGAGCAAAGTTTAAAGAAAAAAAAAAAAAATAGGTCAAATTACGTGGTTAGATCGGTCGAGCACGTCAACGGAGTGTTTTGCCCCATGCGACAGTTTTCAACAAAAATATTTCTACATTAAACGCTCAATATCTAGAGGTACTGCAAGGTATTTGCTATTTATTTATTGAACGGAACGACGTATTTATTGAAACATCGTGTAGGTTTGCGTGATCGTCAGAAATTTTTTACTAACTATTGTCAATAATCGTAAATTATTTGTTGAATAATACTATTTCGTATGACATAAAATGTCAAATAAACTTCGCGCAAACGATGACGTCGGCTTCGTCACGATAACGCGCATGTTATCTGCAGTAGTATCAAGAGCGGGGAGTAGGTCGTCTCGGAAATAATTCAATTATAATGGAAAAGTACTTTTGCAGGTTACAGGTATACCTATTAACTGATACGGTATGTGCCTCATCCCAACTGCGAAGCGTGCATGTTAGCGTATTTAATTCCGAAAAATGAATAGAAAAACTCGATTTCAATTACTTAAACGAAGTATAGAACGTTATAATACTTACTGGTTTCGTCTATGTTTATGGCATTTATGAACGGTTTGTAAAATATATACAAGTGTGATACTACTGAAAATTATAGAAAAAGTACGATATTCACCACGATGACGGGTACTTTGAAATGATACTTAGGTGTGGTGCTATTCGAGTGTAATAATTAAAGGAGTGAGAAAGAGAGAGAGTGAGAGAGAACGACTTATAGGTAGAATCGCGTACATTATTTTGTTACCGTTCGAAAATGGTGGCGGGGTTCAGCGGAGGATATGCGCATCGTCTACATAATATAAACAGTCATTGGTGTCCTCGTTCAGAGCAATTATCACATACACGCCACCGCGTATATACATATATAATATATATACACGACAACGACGGGCCAAGCCCTAACAAACATATTGTTTTTTTTTTTTTTTTTTTTCATTTGTGTATGTACGTTCGCCAGTGTATTTACGTAACGTACATATACACGCGCGCATAACTTGTTGTAAGCTCTGCACACAAACGAGCGGGACGTACTGAGCACAATACGATATAGTATAATATAATATAATATTATGTGGTGTGTATGGTATTCGGTTTTTCAGGATGACGGCATGATGGAACGGCCGAGTAAAGGATTACGACTAGCGCACATCCGTCGAAATGTGATATTACAATAAAAATCGTTCTCACGGTGGACACGGAGACGCCCTCAACTCGGATTCTCGATTTGTATTACGGAATCGTTGTTTCACGACAAAACGAAACGTTATACGCGTGTCGATGTGTACATATTATATTCGATTCACTTATGTATATGGGTTAGTATTATACGAGTAGCGTTCGACAACAATAATAACGTCTTTGGGATTTTAACATCGCAAAAAGATTTTGAAAAAGAAATCGATATATTATTGTTAACCGGACCGCGTAATATATAATAATAGTTACCTCTTCCTCGCCGGGCCCGACAGAATCGATGTTGTTGCACATACCGGGCACGACGACGGATTGGCCGCCGTCGCCGACCGCGACCGTCGTGTTCGCGGTGCCCTGTGCGGCCTGCTGCTGCTGCTGGGCCAGGGGTGGTGTGTGGCCTGTGGGCGGCATGTTCATCGCTGCGGCTGCGGCTGCGGCGGCCGTGGCTGCGTCCAGTCTGAACTTCTTGAGGGTGGCAGCGGCGGCGGCGGCCTCCGGTCCGTTGTACACAGCACCTCGGGCCCTCTTCAACCCGCCAACGGCGACGGCCTCCACGATTCAACCGGGTGGGTGTAACGCTGTGCGACGACCACTTTCAGCGCCAACATGGGGGCACCACTGGGGGCCGGGACGGGTTCCTGTTGCTCGGCGACGTCGTTGCGTTCACGGTTTTGGCGGCGACGACGGGTCTGATGTTAGCTGCGGCGGTTAGGGTGGTGGGATGAGGGCAGGGACGGCGGAACCGGTAGCGACGGGTCTCGTTGTATTTATAGTGATAGGTACACGCGGGCCGGCAACAAAAGTAAATACAGGGATCGGCGTCGTTCCGTTGTGAAATTGATCGTTTTATCCGGCAAACAAAAATATTGAAAAATGAAAACGAAAACTGGAATCGGACGCTGTGTGTGTTGTGTGTGTGTAATGATAGGAGGTAGGTAGAAGGGTATGTGTGGTGGTGGTGGTGGTGGTGTGTGTTCGGTGTGTAAAAGGTAAAAATGTCGCGGTGTGTGCGTGTGATCGCGGAACGTACGACTCCCGCCGTGTCGGAATTGCGTCTGACGTGAACGCCGAGGGCCGAGCTGTGGTAGCGGCGGCGCGACGACGGCGCGCGTTGGTGCGCTCCGGCGGCAGCGGCGGCGGTGGCGACGACGACGGCGGTGGCGACCGAACACGACCGGCGCCGAACCGACCGGAACAGGAAGCCGGGTGGTGGGCGAAGGGCGTACGGCCGTGTAACCCCACCGTCTTCACCGACGACGACGACGACAACGACGACGGCGGCGGCGGTTTCATTGTTTTCCGCGGCGGCAGCGGCGGCGTGCGTGTGTAACGCACAGAAACGGGAGAGAAGAAAAAAATCGCGTTCTGGGCGGCGACGGGCCGTGTGATGATGATGCTGGGGCGACGCGATACTACTGCGGCGACGGTACAGCTGATGGACCGTTAAAATAGTAATAACAATAATAACACGTTGGTGCGGCGTTCGTCTCCCGTCGCCCCGTGAGTTTCCCGCCGGCCAGGTACCGGAGTACGGTCTCAAAAGCCGGTCCGTCCGCGTCTTCGCTCTGGACCACGGCTTATTCTAAAGATTTTTACCTACTGCCCCGAACACACTGAAAAGGTTTTTTATGACATTTATTTGCATTATAATAATACTTACCCCCCTCCCCGAATAAATTGTATGTTGATATTTTAGAATTTTGACCGTCGCGTGGTAAAGTATTCAAAAAAACATGGTTCTCCTCCGTCATACTTATACCACTGTTTAAATTTAAATTCTGTAAATTAATCATTCATCGAAGTAGCAAAGATTGTAAACTTACATAATATTACTCACTAGGTACTAGGTTGGGTTTAGAAATTACACAAATTTCAAATGCTCAGTAGAAATTCAATCATTCTATAAAGAAAATTATATTCTTGTAAGGTGACCATATTCATAAATTCGTCTGCCCTTTTGATTTTTCCTACTAGGTACCCAATTTGGGTAGTATTGCCCGTTAGAATAAGACCTGCTCTAAACCACTGTGGCGATTATCCCCATGGACCGTACGGTAGTAACTCACCCACGGACGGACGTGTCCACACGTTTCGTATCGTGTCGCGGTACCGCAGTGTTGATACAGATATTAGTAAAATTTCATCAATAACCTAACACCATGCCGGTTGTTATCTACAGTTCGCTATAAATTAATAGTTTCTAAACAATGCTAACACTAATAGTTGCATCGGAAAACGATTCACGTCAACGATCGGTGTAACTATTACTTTATATATTGTACAGTTGATGTTTAGACGATAAGACAAAATAAAGTAATAAACTGAATTATTAGTATTATACCGGGATTAACTTAATTAATCTCGTTAATTTAGGAAATTTCACTTCTCTGGTTACTAATCGCAAGTAATCGGGATGGGAGATCGCTTGTAATCATAATATTTTTGTTCAAAGTACGGCAAAAAGCTGCAATATTCTAAACACTTTTCTGTAAAAAGAATTATTTTATTTATTTTAAATTAGATAAGAAGAGTTTCCACATTAAAAGCCTTAAAAATTAATTATTCAAACAATTTGTTGCCAATGCAGGAACATCAAAACATAAATTGAATAGAGTAGAGCGTGAAGCTGTTTAAAAATTTAAAGGCAATACGGTAGAGGAATCGATTGGGTACTGCAAAATATCAGAAAATACTTCATATTCCTAGGAAATAAATAATATAAAATCATAATAAAAGAAGCTTTAATATTTTGGTCATATGTTGAGGAAGAAAAATATCAATTCTTACTTCTCATATTGCAAGGAAAAACTTGAGAGATGAGGAGCAGAGGAAGACCTAAAACACAATGGTGTACGTTTAATTTTTTTATGGGATATTATTTACAAAGTTTTTATGTCAATATCAAACGTCTATTTTTATATCTCTTCGGACGAAAAATTAATGTTTTTTCGATTCCATAATGATTGACAAATACTACATATTATACACTCATTAAAATATGCATTTTGTGCATAGTTTTCATTACAATTATTTCAAAACCAGATTTTAATTTTTTTAATTTTTAGGGGAGCATTAATCACAAGCCCCCTATTTATACGCCACTGTTAAAACTAGCTGGCTGCAAAATCTAAGAGTGGTTCCAATTCAACATAAAGGAATTATTCGATGCGGTCAAAAACAAATACTACACGGACATGATGATTTCCAACCTTCGATAGAAGAGGAATATTAAGAATAAGTTCCTACGTTCAACGAGAGTATGCAATCTTAGTGTTTAAGCTATATAATTATAAGTCGAATAATCGTGAGGTACACATCGGTGAATAAGAAATTCCTGAGACAAAGCCTACTAATCTCAACATTTTCATTGTACTCGTCAAAGTTGGTTTGAGTTAATACATGTTAAAAATTAAGATTTAATATTTGTATTTGGAATGAAAATGTATACCAAACGTAACAATAAAACTTGCTTCAACCTCGGAATTAACATTTGAATATACTCAGACAATAGTTATATTTCTGTTAACCTTATCGAATAAAATTTTAGAAAAAGCAATTATTTTTTTTATTAATTTCTCTTATATAAAATATAAAAAAAACTTATTTACATTTTTTCAAAAGTAATATATGATTTTATCAGGTGTAATCTTGTACTTACGAGTTAATCAAGGTATAACTATAACAAATACAAGTGACCAGAAATATAAAACCACATTGCCCTTTTAAAATGTCGTGAACACTTTTGCCATTTTTTAACTACGTATATTTTAAAAAGTTAAAATTTTAAGTTTACCTGGATATATTTTAATCGTATAATATATTATAATAATAACTACGTGGAATTAAAAAAAAATGTTATATTATTGCTTGAAACGCAACTGCCATAAAATATGAGTACATTTCTTTGTACACGAATACGATTTGCATATGCATAAAATAATAATTATTTATGAAATTTTAAATTGCGAATACTAGAGTGGATACTTAGCATAAAAAACACAAGGTTTCCCATAAAAATAATTGTGAGTTTTTTTTTAAATATAATTTAAGGGCAGCCATTAATATTGCAGAGACCAATTGAGCAGATTGAAAATATTAAATTATATGACATTTATATATTTTGCGATGGCGACAAAGAGAATTTATTTTTTGAAAATAATAATAGGATGAATTATGATTAATAACTAATAAGGTTTCCAAAATAGTTTAACTAATAGTTTTCACTTAAACTAGTTAATAATCTTAATTTGATCTTACGTTTAAATGTTTGACTGCAGAATTCAGAGGTTTTTGTTATTAATATTTACATAGCTAGTGAAATACTTCGTACATAATATTAATAATAGTATTTATTGTATTGATTATTTTTTTCTATAAATTAATTCAATTTTTCTTATAGTTTTGTGGATAATTTTTATTATACCAAAATATACCTTTGAGAATACAAAATATATACACATGCAGTGCCGGATTAAACATTTGTGGGCCCCTAGGCGATTAAAATTTTGGGCCCTACAAAATAATTTTTTACATACATCTTTATCATTACTATTCAATAATTAAAATAAACAGCTTTAGTGATAACCAACTCTTATTAATAAACCAAATCATGTTTATTACATTTTTTTATTTGTAAGAAAAATTAATTAATTACTATATTATTTCTATTTTTTTTAAAAATAATTTTATTGTTATTACTGCATGTAAAACCTACAACTTAATATATATTATATATTATTTCATAACGAATTTTGTTCCGTAAATTCATAAATAAAATATAGGTATTTTTAAATAAAAAAAATATTTTTTTCTGTTTTCACCGGGTCCCTTAAATGAGTGAGGCCCTAAGGCGGGTGCCTACCCCGCCTGATGGGTAATCCGGCACTGTACACATGAATGTAAAATGATAAACTAGAAATATGCTCAAACTAAAATGTCGATCAGTATATGTTTATCTCACGGTGAATATTTTATTTACTCGTATTTTATTTTCAACGTCTAAATTTTTAAATTTTGGCGTGGTTGTAGTAATGATTGTTTAAAACAATTTCCATTTGAGTATCCACTAGACATTTTTATTTGTCTACCGCGGTTGTCGTACTGTCGGTAATTTTTTTACTTCAAGTCTTCTTACAATATTCAAAATAAATCTTTTGGTATTATACTTAATATATTATGTACAACTATAATAACGAACACATAATATTCATGTTCTAATCATAAAAATTCCGTAAAAATAAAACTGCTTTTTCGTATACATATATAATAAAAATATTAAACTATTACAAATCAGAAAAATTATTTTATTACGAGTATTTACGTTATAATGAGTTTTAAATTGTAAAAATTACTATTCCTTATCAATTTACTTCGATATTTAATTACCTATAATATATTTTTGAATAAAATGAGATAATTATAATTGCTTTCAACCGTAGTATAATATAATTAGAAAACATATTTAACAGAATACTTGCATTCTGGAACAGTATCTTACCAGCACTATGAATCAACATTTCCACGGAAAAAGTTGAAAATTGCATGAACTATACAAAAGTGTCTAAATACTTGTATTTTTAATAAAATATTTAAGTGAGTCGACGGGCGAAATTTGGCCAATAAAATATGTTGCACTCTAAACTTTTAAACTAAATATATCACCATTCTGAGTTTAAACCACGGTTTAAGATATATAGATTTAAGATATCTTAAACCATGATTTAAACATAAATGATGTTCTTATCAAAGATATCATGTGTCTATGGTATAAGTATAACATAAAATCTTGTTCAATCATTGAGTATTTCACGTTTTAGGAACATTTATTAACTGAAAAACTAATTACTTTTTAACCATAGTTTTATTGAGATGATAAGTGGCTTTTAAGTATGTTACCAATTAACGGTGTTGCGAGGTTAAGTCATTTGATCATTTATGGAAAAAATATATATTATAAAAATAAATATTGTTGGAAATATCACTAATTGTTTCGTGGAGTGAAAAATAAATAAATTACACTCAAAACTAGATTACAATACACCATTTTTGGTCGATCAACATGGAAGAAAAACTATAAAAATGCGTAATAGAAAAATGCTTGATA